AAAAGCAAATGGATTATGATTAATGTGTTTCTATGCTTAAAGGCGTGTGGATTAACATGTTTCTACATTAAAAAACATGGATACTTTTGGTCTACATTTAAAAGCACATGGATTAATGGGTTTCTACATTTAAAAGCTCATGGATTAATGTTTCTTTTATTATAAAATTGTTATTAGCATCAATATGTCAGTAGATTGATACAACTATAAGACATTAATGAATAATACAGGTAAAGGTACTTTGGTCTAAGAACTTAATTCTAATATAATGATGTAAAAATATGGCTATTTTTCTATTTTCAGTAAAATAAAGAGTTACCATATTTCAGGCTGTCAAAAGATTTAGATGTCACTGCTGTAAATACTTCTTTATCTGGTGTATAATACATGAACTTAAATTTGTAAAACAAAAGAAAAAGAATTGAGAAACGTTTTATAGAACCTGTTTTATGTGGGTGGAACTGGGTGTTGGTTATCATCTTTCTAAATACGATCCAATGTACTTAAACAGCCATGTAAGTGAAATACATCTGTCTTGATGTAACCTAGTTTATGTAAACAGGTATCTATCTGAAGGAGATCGGTTTGTTTGTTAGCTGTGATACAATATACAAAAGCATTCCTGTGTACAAATTGGATTGTTCTTACCTGATGTGATGGTATTTATATATATAGATAGAGGTAATTTTGGTCATTCTTTCTAGATAGTTCATAATGTTTACAAACAGTTGGGGCTATTATTTTATATAACCTTTGATTTCATTTAGGTCAGAAAATGTTTATATAATTCAGGTGCTATTTAACAATAGTCCAAACTGATGTCTATTAATTGCCGTTGCTGATAATCTCTGGTTTATTTTTGTAGTTTAAACAAAAAAGTTTAAAATACGGAAACTGTTATGACCAAATATATCATTAAAAATCTATTTGTAGTATAAAGCAAGTTAAAACGGGAAAATTTAGTTCTTTTTTCCCCCCACCCTCATTTCAGCCATAATTTATTCTGACAAAGGTTGTTTATTCCATATTTTTAAAAGCTTTTTTTTCTCTCTGTCTCTATCTTTTTTTTAATCAGATTATGTGTAGATATTTGATGATTATATTCTTTAACCTCAATTGATGTTTGTTTGTTTTTTTGCTCCAACAGAAAAAGATAATGATCATGATCTGTGTTATCATCTTGGTGGTGATCTTGGTGTCTACTCTGGGAGGGTATCTAGGGATGTGAAGATGTGTCTCTTCTCTTTTCCTCCCACTTGCTCTGCAGCAGTGTGGAACATTTACCCACACACAGTGGTAATGCTGAATTTAGCTGAAGGCTTTAGCTTTTTTAAATGTGACACACAGTTTGTAAGTCCTGTGAATTTGTTGTTGTTTTTTTTGTAATTATTTATTTTTTCATAGTTGTTATTAATTCAATTCAATCTCCCCTTTTTATAACCTAAAGATCCTAATTCTCATTTATATTAGATACCTTCCCCCTTAAACAAAGAAATTTCTCTGTACATGTGTGTGTTTATACATTTATACACATACATAGATACAATACTATTCGACGTGGCCCTTACTTAAACTAAGAGGAATATGTGTGAATATATATATCAGCTAATATGAATCTCTCCTTTTATCAGTATTCAATGTTTTAGTACACCTTGAATAACGACTTCTGTTGATCTGAATCTTTCAATTCTTATTGCTCCAGAATAATCTGATTTCGTTCAGGTAATGTAACAGTATGTTAACACTGCAGACTTCTGGATTAACCCCAAGCAGTTTGTTTACCCTTTAAAATATATGGAGGGTTCAAATAAACTGTGTTTGAAGTAGGTAAGATATGAGGTAAGAAAAGTAAAATTAGAAATCTTGATATACCAAGTATTTGGTGAGAAAAAAACGCGTATGTTGGTAACCGTTTAAGTTTCTTAAAAAATCTTCTATATTATACTACCTTTTTAAAACTCGCTTCTTGGTGGAGGCTTGAAAAGTACTAGGTCAGTCTATATTTTCGGCACCACGAAGCAAAGTTCAGGATATATTTACGCAACTGTTTAAGTATGTAAAAGATTATGAAGGTGTTCTGCTCAAACAATCACTAGAATATTAAGAATGATGACTTCTTATTTTCATGATGTGAGGATTATTTAGTTTTTCAGTATTTTAAATTTTTTTTACACCTCGACATTAAAGACCTTCTTCTAGTTTTAAACGGATTATAACGTTATACAAGTTTATTCAGCATTTTCATATAATGTTTTATCATTTATGTTACGTGGCTTAGATACAAATCTGTCAATTTTTGGTGAATATGCACATCATTGTTGAATGTTGTTATTCACAGATGTTGTATAGGAATTTGAAAGATGTGATGAAAAAAAAAAAGTTGCTTCAGGATGTTTTACTTATTAGCTTCAAGCAAAAATAGGATGTATGACTGACAGAGTTTGCAAGTACAATAATTAAAGACGAATCGGTGGTAAAAATCCTGATCCCAGGAGTTGGTAAAGCATTGAAAATAACAGTTCAAACATGTTATCCCCTTAAGGACTTTATTTTACTTGTATAACTCATTCTATCAAAGTTCCATTGCCAAGAAAAACCTCCAGAAGCTACACTTCACTGTTTCTCTGCACTAGAAGTGATTTAAAATGTTAATTTTGTTAGGTGGTCTACTTATTTCTCCTTTTTTCCTAGTTTAGGGTTTATTGAACAAAACTAGGAAGTGGCCTTCTAAATTACTCACACCAGCCAGTAATGGCTGCCATTTTCTCGTGATTCTTTTACATAGGTTAAATGGGGGTTCATCATATATGAAGCCTTATAGTAGCTGATGTGGGAAACAGTACAGGTGACAGTGGAGAGAGACAGTAAATAAAGAACAGTATTGTTGCAATAACTCACCTATCTTACTGGCCTGTATAATATTAAATTGATAAGAATTTTTCTGTCACTTGGTTGACAAACTTTCATTGTTATACAAAGATCAATACTTCTATGTACGTTAGTGTACATGTGGCTCTTGTGTGTTTTCTTTCGTGTCACAGATTGTAAAATTGAAACGTGTATTAATAATGTCATAAATACTGCCCCAAATATAAATGTAAAATTAGATTGTATATTTCTTGCATGTGTTTCATCACATTATATGTGTAAAAGTGTTTTAACCATATGTAATACAGTTTTTCTCTTTGCTCTCTAAGCAACCCCCCCCCCCCCAAATAAAAGAACTTGCTTAATTGTATTTCTTTTATTACTGATATTTTTCTGCAGAATGGAAATAACTCTGATTAATGATTCATTGTAGGTAATTAACCATGTTTGTCTGTCCCTTTGGTAGATTTATTCTTTTCATAATTTTTAAAACACATTTGAAAAGTTCCAGTAAAACAAATGTCGGTGCAGTCATTAGTACTGATTTGTTCTTGTATTTTCTTTTAATATAATAATGGAGAACAAAGAACTAGGTAAATAACAGATACTTGAGTTTTCAGACTCTATGTTGGGATATAGAACCCACATTCAGGCATAGCTCAGACCAAAGTCCTCTGTTGTAGACCTGATTTGGACTTTATTACTTTAGTGCTTTTTATAATTGTTCCCTAATCTTGGTAAGTTGTGTTGACATCATATTTCTACTCTCTTCCGAAGTTTCAGCAAATACAGAAACTTTATTAAATAATACTACCACGTAATGTTTTCATTACTTTCAATTAGAAAATCCACTAAAAACTAGGGAAATCCTATATTTTCTCCACTATCCAAGAGAACAGTACGTAACTGAGTCATTTGCTAATATGTACTTACTTTTAACAATCCGTAGGTGTGACCAACTGACAAAATTTTAGCCTTTCTTCGTAAAAAAACTGCAAACTGCACGAGTAAAGAATTTGGTTAATTGCCTGATTTTTAAATTACTGATTGTTAATGTTTTTCTAATAATAAAGAAACACGAGTAGATTTATTCAGTCATTTGCCTGATTTTGACTGTTTATAATGTTCAGTCAGTTTAACAAATTGGGCAAGTCACACTTTGTAGGTAAAGATTGTAAGTACATATTCCAGTCATTTCTCTGTGACTATTCCCAGATACTTTACTCATTGCAAGTGTTTATTTATGTTTAATAAAACCCGCAAAGTCTCTTGTATTTTGTCTACATCTTTTCTTGTATGAATGTTTCAAAGTATCTATAATTTGATAGGTTTTTCAAATATCAATTTGAAAAAAAAATAATATTTCCATATTGGTTTTAAAATTTAAATCCTTGCATTTTTTTAAGGTATTAGTAAATTTACCCATTGTTGCTTCAATATTTGTTTACTGAATGAAGAACATAATTCAATGTAATATGTTTGCGTAGAAAGATAAAATGCAATACCCAAGCTTCCAAATTAGATACTTGGTACTGTGAAGATTAAAGCCCTAAAATGAAGTGCACTTACGTATAGATTGTAAAATAAACAACAAGTTATCTGAAGGTTGGCCTCTCTAAAACCTAGAAAACGTAAACAACAAGTTATCTGAAGGTTGGCCTCTCTAAAACCTAGAAAACGTAAACAACAAGTTATCTGAAGGTTGGCCTCTCTAAAACCTAGAAAACGTAAACAACAAGTTATCTGAAGGTTGGCCTCTCTAAAACTTAGAAAACGTAAACAACAAGTTATCTAAGGTTGGCCTTTCTAAAACCTAGAAAACGTAAACAACAAGTTATCTGAAGGTTGGCCTTTCTAAAACCTAGAAAACGTAAACAACAAGTTATCTGAAGGTTGGCCTCTAAAACCTAGAAAATGTAAAGAAGTTATCTGAAGGTTGGCCTCTCTAAAACCTATAAAACGTAAACAAAATTCACTAAGGAATAGTCTTATTGTAATAATTTTTATGACTTTTCCTCCATAGTCATAACAGGTATCTATAGTGTCAGTTAACCAAAATCACTAATTATAGTAACAAATGGTTATAGAATACTCTGGATTAGATTCTCTAGAAGGAAGAGTTAGATTAGCTCATTAATAAGAATACTAGGTAATTTTGTAATCCAGGCTTGTGACTAAAATTTTATCAGTAATAATTCTGATACTTCTTTAAAATGTGATTCAAGACAAAATAATCTTAATAAAACAAGTGGACTAGCTTCATTAGTGATGATACTTAATACTTCACTAACACGGGTGATTCAAGACAAGCTGGTTTTAATAAAACAAGTGGACTAGCTTCATTAGTGATGATACTTAATACTTCACTAACACGGGTGATTCAAGACAAAATAATCTTAATAAAACAAGTGGACTAGCTTCATTAGTGATGATACTTAATACTTCACTAACACGGGTGATTCAAGACAAAATAATCTTAATAAAACAAGTGGACT